CCCTTCCATTATCTTGATGTACGACTTATTTCGATCTGGTTCGTTTGTTAAAACTAACAGAATGTCAATCGGAGGTTAAAACAAAAACACGTTAGGCTGATGTCACACGTGTACGTTGATTTTGAACAGCGGTATCTTCTTTCAAGTTTTGTTGTGTGTTAATTTTTTGCATTGTGTTGTGTGTTAAAACCAACAAGGACAATATAATGATGGTCCAGTGGCCGACATCCTGTGTGTATCATAAAAAATAGAATAGTGCTGGTCGCCAACTTTTTGTCCTGGTCGGAAATTCTGAGTGCCGGTACTTTACATGACCTCTAAAAGGTCACACATCCTGGTACTTTACATAAACTCTAGAAGGTCACACATCCTGGTACTTTACATGACCTCTAAAAGGTCACACATCCTGGTACTGTACATGACCTCTAAAAGGTCACACATCCTGGTACTTTACATGACCTCAAAAAGGTCACACATCCTGGTACTTGCAAGGGGTAGAATTTCACTATCAATGATATTTTTCTCAAGGACTTTCCAAAAAAATACAAACATTTGTCCTTGAAGTTGAAAAACAGCTCAAATTGTTACTATTATAGGAGGACAATACCCCCACAGAATACCAGGATGTGTGACCTTTAGGGGTCATGCATAATGCTTATTCAAAAACACTTGAAGCTAGTACATGTGTATGAGATTAATTTTGATGCAATGTATTTTAACATTTTAGTATAAGTGGAGCAACGTGCAAGTATTGACAATACGGATAGAATTGCAAATCGATTGACAGTCAGCGGGAATACTACACGCTATGCTCGATAAACCTAAAGTGTGTAAAATTACCAAGGACAACGTTTGTTAACAGATAAATAACATAGTACACAAATCACGTGGCTATTTGCACAATCCAGAATCACTGTTTGGTTTAAATCATACTTACTTCTTGCTGTATCATTAATTGTTCAAAACGACAACAAGACGGTGTATGACAGCTAAAATGACGGGCGCCTCAATCAAACCTGTGTTAACACTGCCACGTGATTGGTCAAATACGTGACATCCAATGAATGGTGAATCAATCAATACAACTGCAAACTTGAGCTTGAAAGATCCAAATATCTCTGCAAACGAACTGCGTGCCCCCATTGATACTGATTAGCCATTGATATCTGAGTCTGCTGCAAAGCTACATATTTTCGGTGTTAAGCATTACGGGGTGCATAACCAAACAAATACCACGTTAAACAGTACATCACCTATGCTACCAGGCATAATAGCCAGACAGGAGAGACTTAGCAAGGTTGGAGGTCACAAAATCAAACACCCCTAAGGTTGTCAACATCAGACAATAGCCGAGGAATTTACCCAAGTAGTTTCAGTTATGTACCACCGAGTTTCGGGGAGGGAAAAAACAAAACAAATTGTGTGAATTCTAGCTTATCAACTGTCTAGTTGATATTTGTTTTTTATAAAAAAAAACACAAAACCATGTTTCCATTGCAAAGTATTAACTGTACTAATGTGGCAAGTTGACACCGACGTTTGAGAGCATAACTGTATTGGTGTGCAGTGGTACGTCAATAACAATAAGGCTATTCACCACTTGTGATGAAACGCAGGAGGGATTATTTGAACTGGTCAATGCAAGCATGTGTGGGTAACGTGCTGAGATAAAGGTTGCTGAGTTCTGAAGAAGGCAATAAATAATACATACACCGTTGCCTTAGATTTTAAATACAGTATACCGCTTGAGAGGTTAGGCTTTGTGCAAGTGTAGACGCGTAACACTAAACTGTATACACTGAGCCTGGATCAGGCGCATTTGGAAGAATAAATAGGGTTGGCCATTAGAAATTCACAAGGGGAGAATGGTAAAAAAACTGTGGAATTAGTTTTCTCCTTCATTAAAGCTTTTTGATGTAGAATTTAGAACATTTGCTCGCTTACCTCTATTATTTTTTGTCCCTTTTTTTTTCTGCTATTTCTTTTTTCAAAAGCACCCCTCCCCCCTTAATTCAATGGTCAAACCCTTAGGAATCTGAGCAAGATTATGAAGCGCATACACAAAAGGAACAAATAAATTAGATAAATAAATTGTAAGGGTAAAGATCGAGTACTATTATATCGTCACTTAAATAATTGCAGACACCAGATTGGAGGTGGGGGGCACAGTGATTTGTTGAATATTGTTGGTAAAATAATAGTCAGAGAAATAATGAAGTACAGGCGAAGTTAAATAATTTGTTTTCCTGTAATTTTCAGAAACCTGTATTTCGTTTATACAATACATTATAATGTAGAGCTTAATGAAGTCAGTTATGCAAATATTATGAGGGCAAGTGAGGTCAATATTGCAGATATAATTAATATATAATGTTTTCAATTGGCAGGTGTTCTCTATCCACCAATTTAGACACATTTGATTCAGATTTGACTTATTGCAAAAGATGAACAAAATATTACTAATAAATTTGTTGATTTGAAGGCATACGTATAGAAAACATTTTGCGAAAGTCAGTCTCAAGAAATGTGCAACCCTAATCAGCTACTACATTGAAGAAAGTTTACATTGCCCAAAATATTTGGTTATACGGAATACAATCTCATGTACCTACTACCATTTCAAAGCAGGAGGGTCATCACCTGTGCATGTGCGGGAATTGAGTCCCAAACAACGATAACAACACACGCTAAAAACGCAAATGCTCATGGGTAGACGCTTGTTTGTAATCAATGACGGCCATCTGACGCATGCGTAGGTGATGACTCCCCCGCTTTAAAGAAAGCGTAATAGGCTACTGCGAAATTTTCTTCACACATAAATCGGTCTCTGACAAAATTGAAACATTTGTACAGTAAGATATAGCAGAGGCCAACGTTATCATTTCGTATCACGTGCTTATATTGAATAATTTATGGTACAACTGTCAAGACCATTATATTACAGTTAATCAGTTCACAGGAAGAGAATTCCTTCAGTAATTACGCTAGGTAATATCGCTTTTTAACTTAACAGGAACTGACACTTTAATTTGTCAAGCTGTTCCTTTATAAGAGCCATATATATATATATATATATATATATATATATATATATATATATATATATATATATATATATATATATATTATACATAATGAATAAGGAATTCTGGGTAAGATTATTTACTTTTTTTAAATTTTAATCAGGAATGATTGTTAAATGAATTATATAATTCATAATGTTGCAGTATCAGAGTTATGGTTTGACAAGCTTGAAATATTGCCAGTCACTAGTGTAGCCATACAGTTACAATAATATTACCTCCATTACTGAATCTTGAATTCAGCAGTGGTCACATGACTTCTTAGGGTGTTCTATACTACTGCAAAGTACTTTATTTTCGCTGGAATTAATTTTCACTGAAAAGACATTATGGGTGTTTTGTTTGGAATTTATTTTCACTGATTTTCGACAAGTTGCATGTAAAATATATAGAAAAAAAAGGTATATTCACTGGACTTCAGCGAAAATAGTGAAAATAAAGTATTTTACAGTACCAAGGACTTATACGATAAGGGTATACAGTCTGTCTGTCTATGTATGCAAGGAATATCTCATGATCTTGTGAGTTCCACACACATAGCAATCAAACATATTTTTTTTTTAAATCAATGTCGTGAATGCCTTAAAAGGTTTGATTGTGTAAAAAAACAAAAAAACAAGTGAGATTAGCAAACATGCAAAATAAACATGTACTTTTGTTTTTTCCAATTTTTTGATCATCTTATAATTCGCACGGCGTCTTCAACTCGTATGTAATTTCCATCGTATGCCACGAAAATGTGATCACTTTTTTCACGTCATTGTGAATCTTAAAATTACTGAATAGTTTTTTGTTCAAATATAATGTTGCTGAGCATCTGTGCAAAGCATTATGGGAGAGAATTTCAAATGTTGCACTACTGACCATGTTATTGAGCATATGTGCAAAGCATTATGGGAGAGAATTTCAAATGTTGACCTACTGAGCATGTTGCTGAGCATATGTGCAAAGCATTGTGGGAAAGAATCTCCATTGATGCCATACTGAGTAAGTTACTGAACATATATGCAAAGCACTGTGAGAGATAATCTCAAACTTTGCACTTCTGAGTAAGTTACTTCAAGCATATGTGCAAAGCATTGTGGGGGATAATCTAAAATTTTGCACTACTGAGGGTATGCGCGAAGCATTACGGAAGAGATATTCAAATTTTGCGCTACTGAGCTTATGTGCAAAACATTGTGGGAGGGAATTTCAAATTTTGCACTGAGCATGTTACTGATTATATGTGCAATATGGAAATTTAATTTAAATATTTCTTTGGACACTCACTGAATTTTTTTTTAAATTTAATTTTTATTAAAATTTAATATCAATGGCAATACGATTTTAATATAATGTAATATATTTGAATTCAAGTATATATAATAAATGAAATATCTGGTTTACTTGTACTTCTAAATGAAAAAATACTATACAACTTTTTTACAGAGCAGCACTTTGATAATATGTTGAAATACTTTCCCCACAAAGACAACTCTGGTTTCTGGAAAAAATTGTTGACTGTAATTTTGTTTTATTTATATGTAATGTAAGATAAAATAAAACATTTTTTTTTTTTATTTTATTAGTTTGATTCCTCTTTCTTTAAACAATATTGCTGACCAGCAATGAAATCACTTGAAACAAATTAAAAAAAAATTGTTCACAAAAGCAATAATGCGTGTTAAGAAAATGAGAATATAATCCCCATGGCGATGAAGCTAACACATAAGTGAAACCATAATATTTCCGAGTAATAATATATTGACTGTGGTGAGAGTACAATATAACATGTAATGGTTTGAAAAAGGCATTTCAAATCATTGGTTAGCATTAAACACGATTTCGAGCACAATATGATATACTAATAACCTTCCATTCACTTGGCAGGTACCATTATATACATAGGGGTGACGAGTATAAAAAAACACTCACCTCCGGGTCTGTACACTAAATTGTTTTCTGTGATGAATCTAACAATTTCACCCTGCTTGTTTATTAGCGTTTTTCCCTTCCGAATTTTTTTTCCAGTCTGGGAGCAGGTTCCTTCTAAGATGATTTCGTCATAATCTCCACAGTCTGTAACACTTTGTCGGCGGCGTTTCGAAGCAGACTCATCCGAAATCTTTTCGCACATTGTGAATCTAATTAGACCACTTCGGTTATGGCGCAAACCAACAATCTCACTGACCTGACATGGAAATGATGTGATACGGTTGACTTTATTTGCGTCACCTGAAAATAATCAATATATAATGTCGGTATTAAATATACATACTAATGCCTATGACAGGGAGATGAATTGTTCGTTACACTAATACTGGGGGAATACGAGCATGTACTTGTAACAGGAAACATTATGTTAGCGTGAGTGAAATAAATGCAGTACGAGAGGCATTAACACATCATAGCACCTTCGATTCGTTGCTAAATAAACCTATTATGTACACGTGAAATAAACTGATTATATTCCACTTTCAGGATATCTATGCTATCTGAATGCGCTGTTGCATTCTGTCTAACAGCTACTCTAAGATCTGATCAATATTTTTTTTTTCTCCATAATCCCTCGCATAATATGCTGATCTGGAATGCAAAGTAGCGTGACTCTAATACCCTCAACTGTCGCTAATCACAGCAGGGATCCAACACTCCCCCATTATTCACTATCGCTCTACATGTACACTTTGTATATTGCGCGTATTCTACTGAGCGTGCCAGCGGAAAGACAAAAAATAAAACAGACTCTATTCAATAAACACATATGCTTCCGCTGAATTTACCGCTTCATTTTTTATAATGAATGAGACATTCCATAAATACAGTTGTAACAGGGGTGGAAGGTACCAAAACAGAACAACAAATATTTGTGGTTACGTAGAAACAAAGCCCAATATTTTATACCACAGACTGCACATTCATGAAAAAAAAAATCAGGATTGTTTAAATAATATCATTAAACAAATAATAACTAAAATAATCTGAAATCCATTGAGCCAATATAAATTTGAAGGAGAATCTCTTTACCATTTTTCATTTAATCTAAGATAATTTTGAAATATTAGATCTATTATTAATGAATTTAATGTGATATGAACAATTAAAAATTATTGTGCATGTGTTAATAATTTTGAATATAAATTTCCAAAACTGGCTGGAATTATTAAATTCCATGCCAAAAAACGATAAAACCACCTCAATTTTATTAAATTTCGTAATTTCTAGTTGAATATTGGAACAATTAATAACACACTGCGAAGTAGTTTTTCAGTCTGGGTAGAAATTCCAGATATGGTAACCAAAAAAAAACATACCATTCAAGGGCAGTTAATTTATTGATTTAGCTACTAATAGAGCAATGATGGACATCTCGTCATGTGATTAGTTTTATCAGGTGACGTTGTCATGTGATTAGTTTTATCAGGTGACGTTGTCATGTGATTAGTTTTATCAGGTGATGCTATGGAGTTGTAGTTAAGCTAATGATATTATAGCATAAGGCATTTATGTCTGGCCTTGGTAGCAACAACTGATTATGAAAACTCAGCAGCTGTTATCTTATCCTATCCCAATGTTTTTCAATTTAATTTTTAATCAAGAATTGATTCGGAATAGCATTTCAGTTCAGTCAGATTTAAAAACAAGATGTAAATTCAGGACATTCTGGTTGATAATGTAATAGTTGCATGGTGACCGGGGTTAATATAAATCTGGCAACAGATTGGAGTGATCATTTCAGTTCAGTCCACCCAAGGACTGATGCAGAGTCAACTGAATGAAGTATATGAATAAAGTTAAATAACAGCCTCTTTCCAGACAATTTATTTTTTTATTTTTGGATGGTTTTCAATGTTTCAGGGGTACATACATATTGCAGTAAAAGGCATGATTTCTTGTGCTGTTGGATTTAAGTTTGTTTTCGCAAAATTATATACATTTTCATCATATATTTAACATATTCATTTTTAAAAACTATGCCAAAAAACTAACAATATATTAATGAAATACATTAATTTCACACATTTTCATGAAGTTTCTAGAAATAGATAAATCCACCATTATCCTCTTATATTTTAAACTCGCCAATGTATTTATATACACGAAAAAATTTGGCTGGCAATGCTACTCGAGTGAAAACAATTATACAATGGTATCATTTTTGTTAAATTAGATTCATCCCCATTTATCGAGTATTTGTCACCATGCTTTCCAGCAGTGAGTATTGACAACAAAGGCGAAACACTGAATATACAATGTATTTTTTACTGAAGCGATACTTATTCTGTTTTTAAGGTAAACGACATACATGGATCAGATGAGTTCGCATAAACTTACAAGTAACCCACACTTTTCAAACTGGCATTAAGAAACAATAGCCAGTTAACAAAGGGTAATACTTAAATAGATTGTACTACAGTACACAGCACGTATGAGTTTGTATCAAACCTCCCCCGAGGGGATGCCAACACTGATCCCTTTGTGAACCAACACTTTTATATACAGCATACACCATGACGTTGACCGTTCAAAGCCATTAGTTGTCTTTTGTTGAATCCACAACCAATACCATAAACACCATGTACGTGACACTGACTATACATTACATATCACACTATAATTACCTGGCTTTCTAAGCAATTTACGGCCGGTCAGATCAGATTGGAAGGTCACTTCCTATTTTTATCAATGCTGTGGGAATATATGCCAATACGTTTAACAGTCTAAAACAAACACGTCTCAATAATACGACCTCCAGTCACTCTGGTAAAAGCCGCTTAAAACTATGCACGCACAGAACAATTAACCCCTGTGATATAATAACTACATCGTTAAATAGCGGCTTCTATAAAACACTCAATATTTCAGTAACTACGGTTATAAATCCCACCCCGATCTGTCATCGTATCACGATAAATGTACTCAAGAGTCGAGCCAGAAGCCCTGACTAATTATTGAGATGCGAGCACCACGGTATCCCCGAAACCATACATAAAAAATTCCACACAAAGACAGACAAGACCAAATGTCAAACTTGGTACATTGTTCCGCTAATAAGTGGCTACTATAGAGTGTAGAGCTCAAAAAAGGGTACAATACCTTGTCACAAAGACAAATACAGTTGTATGACATGGATATACAGTATATCTTATCAGTTGCACAGCAAACTAGCTCATTGGTCAAGCAAATAATCACTCCTTGATAATTAAACAAAGCCTAGCGGTTCAGTCACGATGGTGTAAAAAAAAAAAAAGCAGTGATCCTAAAGGTAAAGAGGGGGGATCACACTCAAGCTGAGTTACCCACGCACCAATGCCTCCATTGTTCGCAGGTTATGATAAACTAATGCTGAATAGAAGCGAATTGTACGGTCAAACAAAGCGAGTAACAGTACGGCCCTTTGACTACACGTTGCCTCAATTACGGCACTCGGCTGTTATAACCACATGTGTCTATTGGAAGTCTATTTGTACAGCGGCCGCTGAACGTACATTCAACAAAAGAGACAAATTTTACCTCTGCTGTTGTGCTCCGAGGAGACAAGAAGATTACAATATCGCCGTCACTTAATTTACGATGAACAGGAGACTAGAACACACAGCAGCAAACTTGATGCATTCAGTTTTTTTTTTGTTCGATAGCAATCTGTTTCACACAAAACCGTTATCCTCTGAGGCAATCATCTAACGCAGTCCACGCTTGTTTAGCAACAAAGAAATGACTATATATATTGACCATTCAAACAGCAAACATTTCCTGATGAATTCCAGCTTCAATTGCCTATTCTCGCAGATTCCAATCCCTCATGAAAATGAGACGACAACACAGCACATGATAAACTGCATTGCTCACACACACATGCTGCTATAATTACACGCTTTGTGGATTAAAGGCACATTGACGATACCATCACAATAGATCACCTTCTTCACTTGCACATGCCATTTACACCTGACACCATAATGGAATCTTCCGCCCTCATCAATAACAATTTTATATTGATCACTTATCCTGCAGACATGATAGCACACACCAATACAAATCACAGTACCCAATGAGTAGCCGTAGATAAATAGATTAGACACTCGGGTACCAAGTATCGCCACAGACCGTATATACAGAGGAAAGACAAGAATCCACTATTCCAATCAGTAAAGAGAAAATAGTTTGATCTAAAATTATTAATTACGACCTCATGTCACGAATAGCAAATATTTGAAATCTATACAGTCCCTCAAATTCATACCTGACATCCCTTTTAATGATAAAATGGAATGCACCAAGATTAAGTAATTTGTTAAGCATTAACAGTTTTTGCATAGCTGTGTACTGGTAGCTCAAAATCTACACAATGTATAGTTAAATTTGTCACTTCCTTCGTAGAAAATACCTTCCTGTTTCTCTCCCTAAAGGGAAGCACTCTGCAACACTAACATTCTTTATTTGTGCATTTAGAGTAATTTAGGGTGAAAAAAAAATTATGATCATCTCGGGGTCAGAGACAAAATAATATCTATTGAGACCTACCGTAATATTTTTGCTTATAGTTTGAAACAATGTTTTGGTGTTTTCAGCTATTCAGGGTGACATGCACAGGTATAATAGAGGATGTTATATTCTCACTTCACTTCGGTTCAGTACATTACGAACTTTATTTGGATTTACATATTTTGAAAACACTAAATCCATATATAAAAGGGTACTCTTAATCAGGGAGGGGGAGTAGTTTTTTTTTTCTGCAAATATATATATAGTTTTTAGTCCCATTATTTTAAACATCACGCAGTCATCAGACAAATGTTTCCTTTATTGTCTTTTTAAACACGTCAAATTTCTCTCTCACAAAAAGCTCCATCACAATGGTAATATTAATTTGTGATAAAACAGCACGCAAAAACAATGTTTACCATGAGATATTATTTCTCCTGAAAATATATAAGAGAACTAATTATGCAAAATTAGAGTAATTAATATGCACAGTGGTTTAGCAATATATAGACAGGGTAACCCATAAGCATCCTAAATTGCATGTAGGAGGTACACATTTTCAAGCTTGAGTATTATGATGTCGTAAAAATTTTGTATAAATTTCATGTAACTAACATTTTCAAATTATCTTTACTAAAATTGTTTTACAAAATAAATGCACCAGAACATATTGTATCATTGTAGCTGATACCCCAAAAAAAGCATTCTATCAAGTGGAATATTCCAAGTGAAACATACAAGTACGTGTA